TGTAGTAAACGAGCTCAAAAGAGAACCTAAGCAATCTGGGAGAGTTAAGCAGTGAGTACAAAACAAAAAAGTAAAGAAAGATGAGACAAGCTTCAAAATAGGTTAACAGCAGTTACAAGAATCATGTCTCACTACTGCAATATCCACTGAAGAAGGGGGTAGAAAAAAAAAAAAAACCAACAAGAAGCTTAACAGGTTAAGAAAAAAACTAGAACAGTATTAGAGGAAATACGCTACCTCTAGGGATAGTTAAACAAGGGATTAGGTTATGGAGGGGTTACACAAATCTCCACTGATTGTTTTTAAGACCTGGTAAGAAGAACATGTCAGGAATGGCCCGTTCATCTCTCTGGCTTGACACTGAACTGCACACTCACACATCCAGTACATGGCCTCAGCACAGAGCAATGACCTCCCGAGATCCCCATTTTCTTTCCTAAACTTAAAGGCTGCACAAGTTTAGGTTCCTGCCAGGCGACTCAGCAGGTGACCTGACTGCTCCTTAGAGCTCCAAGCAGGCTTTTGATATCTCTCTCTTCTCAATAGCCCAGGCAGGCTGTGATTGACAATTTTCTCTCCCATGAAGCATGCTACCTTAAATGTGGAGTACTCGGAATGATCCGCCAGGGAAATAAAGTCAAAGTACAGAGAAGGCAATGGCAACTGATCCCAGGAATCCAGTCCTGGGAAAGAAATCACAACTGCCAAACTGGGCAAGGATGCATATCCCATTAGTATCTAGAAGTACAGACAGCTATATTTTCTTTTCCAGCACCTCCAATAAATAAGCCTTAATAAAAAGAAGTATTTAACAAAGTACTTAGAGAAATAAGGAGGGAAGGTTTGACGTTCCTAAGCTTATTTTCACAGCAGTATGAAAGGAAATGAGGTAGAGTCAGAGCTAATTCTCCTTATATAATTTCACATGGAATGATTAGTTCTGCCCCAACAGTAACAGCTTTCCAGAGGGTCCTACTTGTCGCCAAGATTGCATACAGATGCTCTAAGTGTAGCTTCCCAATTCTCCACTGACAACCAACTTAAAAGGCCAATATAATATTCATTTTACTATAGAATGAAATTCACAGCATGAATAGTAAAATAATGTCAGAGCTACCATGAAACTGCAGTTGCGTGTAAGGGGCTGTAACTTTGGGAAGTTTAATCATGAAATGGATTCATGGAGAGGAGCTTTGTGCTTCAGTAACATCCCGTGGCCACTGAGGATGTCCAAGAGCTGTGGCTGGACAAGGAGAGGGCAAAGGCACAGAGGAGCATTCGTGTCACATGCCCTGCTGAATATTTTCCTTTAGAAGGCAGGTTTCAATCATTACTGGGTTAATGCTCCCTTCTCTTAAGCCTGATTAGGACAGACATTCCACATGCTGAAGGTGCTGGAATTCCTAAGTCACCTGGGTCGCTTCTGGGTGAAATGCCAATTACTGGGAATTCATCTCAACAAGGCCCACAAAAAGAAAGCCCTAAAAGGCAGCCCTCAGCCCAATGGTGAACATATCACATGGATAATCCTAAAACGCTTCACAAAAAAAAAAAAAAAAAATACAAAACCTTGTAATAGGTATTAGTACTCTTATAAAGTACTGCAGTGCTTTGTGCTTAATCCTTGAATAGACACTGGTAGAAAAGCCATACTCAATTCCAAAATTTCTACTGCAAATTCCAGCTCAGCTACTATTATTCCTGGTTTTTAAGGGATATATACATTTCAAATATATATAACAGTAAATTTAACTATCAATGAAAAATTTAAATCACATGCCAAAACATCATGCAAAATAATAGCATACGAACTTTAAATGTGTGTATTTTGCAGTTTTTAGCACAACCATTTGTTTTACAAAAGACCTACAGATTAAATACAAAATACACTATTAGTTTTAGGCACAAGAACAACCAATTTTTTATGCCTTGCCAGAAATAATGACTAATTAGGCCAGCACCACCCTGCAGTCATTTCCATAAATCTCGCCTTTACATTTAAATCACAACAAGAAGAAAACTGACTTAACAACAACAAGAGCATATTTCTCATTAAAGTTTTCTTAAAGCAAGATCAGGACAAGAAATTATTCTGTGAAGTCAACAAGCTGATGTTATTGTTTATTTGGAGAACTTTAATTCAGACCAAACACAAAATTGTACTCAGAAGTTTTCTGTATTAAACTGCAATCAGTCAGGGAAAGCTTTCAACTGGGAAATCATAAAACACAGAATTTCACAGGATCTTGGTGGATTTCTTGTTTAGTAAAGTCATCTCACAACATATTCCTAGTGCAAACCTTGAAAAGAACCAGAATATAAAAGATGCAATATGTTCAACTACTTGTTGAATTTTTGGTTTTGGGCATATTTGTATGCTAAGTAAATATTAAAGCAGAAAGATACATAGGAAATACAATTCAGATGAAATGAGGAGTTATACTTAATTTAAGATTTTTGTTTTAAAATTATGGAAATTATGGTGCTTCTGAGAAATCACTTGTTTAATTATATACACTAGGCAAGATACTTATAAAAAAGCTTTATTTTCATAACGCAACAGGGACTTTATTTCTATTTGCAAAGGTATCACCTGGTAAATAAACACCAATAAAACAGAATCAAGATTTACATAGTCACACACACACTCCACAATAAGGTTATTAACATACAACTCTGAGGTTAGCTTTTTTCCCTCCCCCAAAATTGATCGGAAAGAACAGGAAAAAGTGGGATATTTTTCCAAGAGGTGATCTAGAAATGGAGGTAAGCCACACCATCACTGATCTGGCTAATCATCCATTCTGAGTTTTAAACATTCCCAACCATTTCCTTCTGCATGTATGCACAGAGGTCTGTGATATTCTGGAAGTTCTTCCATACAA